TTGACTATTTTCTCCTTTCGAGTTTTTAACTCACAATACTTTAATCACTATAGTTGTAGTAACATTTAACCACAAGATGCATTTTGAAGTTTTCTGGCAGCATTTTCACTAGATTTTCGCGAAGAAAAGCCTTGATTGTACTAAACGTGCGCTCGGCGTGAGTTCATAAAAGTGGCGCCCATCTTAATTATGGAACTTTTAAAACTTTCATATTATCAGGAATAAGGGCTTTTTCCTTCCCTTTTTAATTAAAGGTAGAAAAGCCAAAACAAGGCAAATATCTTAAAAAAGCAAAAAAGGCAACATCGAATGTGTATATAGCATTTTCAGTTTAAACGAAACCATTTTCAAATTAAGCGAAACCTTTTTCAAATTAAATGAAACTTTTTAATGTTTAGCGAAACCTTTTTCAAATGAAATGAAACCTTTTTCAGATTCAGTGAAACTTTATTCAAATTAAATGAGACCCTTTTCAGATTCAATGAAACTTTATTCAAATTAAATGAGACTTTTTTCAAATTAAATGAAACTTTATTCAAATGAAATGAAACTTCTTTTTTGGATTACTTTGAATTAGCTGTTACGTGTTACTCTCCCTTACGGTCAAGGCATGTTGAATACAGTGTTGCCGTTTCGGTCCAATTGGACCAAAATTGGTAGTTTCATTTCTTAAAATAAGGCTTTGGTATGTTGATTGGTTTGTTGTGATTTTCGAGGGGTTTTGGTAACTGGCAAATCATATAATTTATTCATTTTATAAAACTTCAAATATCTCTGTTTTCGGGAGTACATGTAAAGGATGATATGAAAAGGAAAAGAGAAATGGGACATGTCAAAATTATTCTTGAACCGAAGTTAAATGTTGCCGTGATTAGACTGTGCTCTAATCCATAGAGTTTGTTTAAGTTAGAAGAAAATAATTAGACAATTGTTATGCAAAAGCCAAATTTTACATTTCGCTTAAGCGAGTGAGTGAGAAGGGAGGGTATTTGTACTTTATTTCCCTCTTCTCCCTTAAGAAAATAATAGTTGACAGCATTGAATTCGTGTAGCAACAATAAAAATATTCTCCCAATTAAACATTATAGTCGGCGTTATCGACTCCCTGATATAAGTATGGCGTCGATAACGATATGTAATTGGGAGTTAAGGCTCTGTTACGTACGTGTTTTTACTTATAAATCAAAAACCAATAGACTTCTACGTATGTAATGCTGTGCGTTGGGTAACAGCTTGCACGCGAAGCTCATTTATAGCATTTTCAGTTTAATTGAAACTTTTTTCAAATTAAGTGAAACCTTTTTCAGGTTAAGCGAAACCTTTTTCAAATTAATTGAAACATTTTTCAGATGAAGCGAAACCTTTTTCAAATTAAATGAAATCTTTTTCGGATTCAATGAAACTTTATTCAAATTAAATGAAACTTTTTTCAGATTCAATGAAACTTTATTCAAACCAAATGAAACTTTTTCAAATTAAGTATTAAACATTTTTAAATTAAGGAACAGGAAATCAACTTAACCTATTAAGAGCCGTTTGTACCATGTCGGCTAACACTAAAGGCTTTGTTATGCATACTTGGCATTGCTTGAGAGTTGTCACATAAGGAATCTATTAAATGAGCTTCGCGTGGAAGCTGTTACCCAACGCACAGCCCTACATACGTAGAAGTCTATTGGTTTTTGATTTCTACGTAAAAACACACACAAAAACTCTCCCTTCTCACTCACTCGCTTAAGCGGAATGTAAATTTGCATAACAATTGTCTAATTATTTTCTTTTAATTTAAACAAACTCTATGGATTAGAGCACAGTCTAATCACGGCAACATTCGACTTCGGTTCAAGAATAATTTTGACATGTCCCATTTCTCTTTTCCTTTTCACATCATCCTTTACATGTACTCCCGAAAACAGAGATATTTGAAGTTTTATAAAATGAATAAATTATATGATTTGCCTAGTTACCAAAACCACTCGAAAATCACAGCAAACCAACCAACCTACCAGAGCTTTATTTTAAGAAATGAAACCACCAATTTTGGTCCAATTGGACCGAAANGGATTCAATGAACCTTTATTCAAATTTATCGAAACTTTTTTCAGATTCAATGAAACTTTATTCAAACCAAATGAAACCTTTTTCAAATTAAATGAAACTTTATTCAAATTAAATGAAACTTTATTCAAATTAAATGAAACTTTATTCAAATTAAATGAAACTTTATTCAAATTAAATGAAACTTTATTCAAATTAAATGAAACTTTATTCAAATTAAGTATTAAACATTTTTAAATTAAGGAACAGGAAATCAACTTAACCTATTAAGAGCCGTTTGCACCATGTCTGGCTAACACTAAAGGCTCTGTTATGCATACTTGGCATTGCCTGAGAGTGGTCACATAAGGAATCTGTTAAATGAGCTTCCCGTATAACGCACAGCATTACATACGTAGAAGTCTGTTGGTTTTTGATTTCTACGTAAAAACACGTACGTAACAGAGCCCTAACTCCCAGTTACACATCGTTATCGAGGTTATCGACGCCATACTTATATCAGGGAGTCGATAACGCCGATTATGATGTTTACTGGGAGAATATTTTTACTGTTGCTACACGAATTCAAAGCTGTCAACTATTATTTTCTTAAGGGAGAAGGGGGAAATAAAGTACAAATAATCTCCCTTCTCACTCACTCGCTTAAGCGAAATGTAAAATTTGGCATTTGCATAACAATTGTCTAATTATTTTCTTCTAACTTAAACAAATTCTATGGGTTACAGCACAGTCTAATCACGGCAACATTCAACTTCAATTAAAGAATAGTTTTGACATGTCCCATTTCTCTTTTCCTTTTCACATCATCCTTTACATGTACTCCCGAAAACAGAGATATTTGAAGTTTTATAAAATGAATAAATTATATGATTTGCCTAGTTACCAAACCCCCTCGAAAAGCACAGCCTTATTTTAAGAAATGAAACTACCAATTTTGGTCCTATTGGACCGAAACGGCAACACTGTATTCAACATGACTTGACCGTAAGGGAGAGCAACACGTAATAGCTAATTCAAAGTAATCCAAAAAAGAAGTTTCATTTAATTTGAAAAAAGTTTCATTTAATTTGAAAAAAGTTTCATTTAATTTGAAAAAAGTTTCATTTAATTTGAAAAAAGTTTCATTTAATTTGAAAAAAGTTTCATTTAATTTGAAAAATGTTTCGCTTAATTTGAAAATTGTTTCATTTAAACTGAAAATGCCATAAATTATATATATGATTTGCCTAGTTACCAAACCCCCTCGAAAATCACAGCCTTATTTTAAGAAATGAAACTACCAATTTTGGTCCTATTGGACCGAAACGGCAACACTGTATTCAACATGACTTGACCGTAAGGGAGAGCAACACGTAATAGCTAATTCAAAGTAATCCAAAAAAGAAGTTTCATTTAATTTGAATAAAGTTTCATTTAATTTGAAAAAAGTTTCATTTAATTTGAACAAAGTTTCATTGAATCTGAAAAAGGTCTCATTTAATTTGAATAAAGTTTCACTGAATCTGAAAACGGTTTCATTTAATTTGAAAAAGGTTTCGCTTAGCATGAAAAAGGTTTTATTTAATTTGAAAAATGTTTCGCTTAATTTGAAAATGGTTTCATTTAAACTGAAAATGCCATAAATTATATATATGATTTGCCTAGTTATCAAAACCCCTCGAAAATCACAACAAACCAACCAACCTACCAAAGCCTTATTTTAAGAAATGAAACTACCAATTTTGGTGCAATTGGATCGAAACGGCAACACTGTATTCAACATGCCTTGACCGTAAGGGAGAGCAACACGTAACAGCTAGTTCAAAGTAATCCAAAAAAGAAGTTTCATTTCATTTGAATAAAGTTTCATTTAATTTGAAAAAAGTTTCATTTAATTTGAAGAAGGTCTCATTTAATTTGAATAAAGTTTCACTGAATCTGGAGAAGGTTTCACTTAATTTGAAAAAGGTTTCGCTTAATTTGAAAATGGTTTCATTTAAACTGAAAATGCTATAACAGATTCCTTATGTGACAAATCTCAAGCAATGCCAAGTATGCATAACAGAGCCTTTAGTGTTAGCCAGATATGGTGCAAACGGCTCTAAATAGGTTAAGTTGATTTCCTGTTCCTTAATTTAAAAATGTTTAATACTTAGTTTGAGTAAAGTTTCCTTTAATTTGAAAAAAGTTTCATTTGGTTTGAATAAAGTTTCATTGAATCTGAAAAAAGTTTCGATAAATTTGAATAAAGTCTCATTGAATCCGAAAAAGGTTTCATTTAATTTGAAAAAGGTTTCGCTTCATCTGAAAAACGTTTCAATTAATTTGAAAAAGGTTTCACTTAACCTGAAAGAGGTCTCATTTAATTTGAAAATGGTTTCATTTAAACTGAAAATGCTATATAGCATGGTTTCGCTTGACCTGAAAAAAAGTTTTGTTTAATTTGAAAAAGGTTTCGCTTTGTGTGAAAATGGTTTCATTTAATTTGAAAAAAAAGTTTCATTTACAGGTCTATTCCGCACGTTACCGAAGATTTTGTAACCAGAAAATTTTATTACCAAAAAATTTTACCAGTTCCTGTCACCGCGATTCTAGGAACGTTGGTAATGCAGTTAAAATATTCAGCAATTCAGCTATGAAGGATTGTGCAAATTCTGGCAGTGCATATTTCACGGGGCAATACTTTGTTACTAGCTAAATGCTATATATGGAATCAGGGAAATCTAAATTGAGGACATTCTAGTTCTCTGCTTATTACTTATTGACAAATCGAAGTATTCCAAAGCATCACACCCATGTACTAAAACCTTATGAACCGTACTTGGCATGTCGTAATACTAACCGGGATTCCGCAGAATTATTAATATTATGCCAAAATTATCAATAAGACTTCTATCAATCGCCGCAATTTCATTTTGAGTTATTTTTTCTTTTGTGAGGCGGGATTTTTTATATTAGTTAATATTTTTTGTCCTTGTAAAATTAAAAAAATTATATGTCTTACAAAATTTTAAATGGCGGAGTACTTGAATCACTAAATAAACGGAACATCATCGATTTTAAAACGTGGATATCCTACATTTATGAATATAAAATTTGTAGAAGTAATACAGTGAACTTATTTGAAAACGTATAAGCACTTACCTCATATGAGTTTCCCGTTCCGAAATATATGGGTATAAACGCCAGCCATATAATGCATGTTGTGTACATTGTTAATCCAATAAACTTGGATTCGTTAAAGTTTTCTGGTATTTTCCGAGTTTTAATTGCATAAATTGTGCAGATTGTAATCAATATCATATTGTAAAGTTGCGAGAATAAAAACGACATATCTTGTATTTTGCATTTTAAAATGACTTCTGTTCGATCAGGATAATAAAAACGAGTGCCTGGTGGCTCAACTATCATCCAAATCATAGTAATCAGTACTTGTATAGCTATGAGGTGAAATAGATTTTAGTATAATATTTTAATCGATCCTTTCGCACACTCACCTATAAGAGATACAGTGATCACTACTTGGGATTGCGGGCTTATATACCTTAATCGTTGGGCTGATTTTGACGCCGAATGAAATATCCGCGAAATTCGGTTGGTTTTTGTTAGCAATGCACTATAAATGATTGAAAATCCGACACCAATGCCGAATCGTTGCGAAATACACGAGACTATCGTTGGTTTGGCTATCAACGCAAAAGTATTGCAATAGCAAACTAAAATCCCGAAGAGCAGCGTATAGCTGAGTTCGCGTCCTGAAGCACGCACCAGCGGAGTATCGTGGTTCTTAGCAAATAGTACTATAACAACGACAGTCATTATTATACCGAATATTGCAATCGCCAAGGGAATTAACGCAAACAAGGATTGCCATCGAATGTATTGAACGTCCAGCGCAAAGCAGGATAATTTATCTGGGTATGGCCAATAACCTGGCCCGCAATCTCTGCATGTAAACTCGTTAAGTACGTATTCGTATGGTTCGCAGTTGTCACATATCCAGCAACACGTGTCTCCCTTAAATGAAAAAAAAAACAAAAACAACGTTTAGTTTCAACGAAGTCTGCAAGTGCTCTTTTGTTCAAACACTACTCTGGATAACATTTTTTGACGTAAGGATCTTTGAACCTGTTTGTGTTGTTGTAGGATCTACACTTCGACCTTAGACCCATTGTGCCCTAAACGCTCATCATAAGGCCTTATGTAGCCCTAAAATACTGACGAAATCCAACAGTTTCATATGATGCATCCCGTCTTCTTCTATTGACCGCGCCACATTCCATATGGATGTGCAATGGCGCCAGTCTGCAATGACACGTCCGTATACGTGTTAAATATATCTCTTAAGCTTCCCTTGACAATGTTACTTTCGATAAGCCTTTTGGTCAGTTGTAGCCCGATGATGACATAAACATCCGCTTGGAGGTTGCTAGGTACTTCTCAATGGGGGTGGAGATCTCTGTGTACCACCTGAAAGTGTGGGCCGAATAGGTTTTCTAGAATTGTTTGGTTCCAAGGAATTTGGCTGCCCAGTTAAATCTTGAACGTTTTTTCTGGACTATTAAATCAGGGAGCAGGGAAACTTGGTTTAGATTGAATTGCATTTGAGAATTAATTTAGGTTAAAATTTCAGGGAAAGTTTAAGCCTCCAGCATCATAAACTTCGTAAGACTATTTCAAAAATAATAAGCGTGATTAACAAACGTTGGAGTGCAATGGGGTATAGTCGTTGCGCTGGGTATGCAGTTACAGTTGCATGGCTATACTCAATCCCGACTCTTGCGTCCTCGTTCGCGCAGTCTGGGCAACGTGAGCAACCCATGTGCGAGATGCGGTAACTAATCCGAATGGAGCCTTGGGTCACGGCAGAAAGAGAGGGAGCTTCGGTTGGGCCACCTCGACTTATTCGGTTTAAGGTTTCACTGAAGTCTGCAGCGTCTGTTCGCCAGTAGATGCGGCTGCAAGCGGGTGTCTGCTTGGAGCAAGCGGCTCGCTATATAAACGTGTATTTGGTTGCGAAACCACCCCCGTCCCAGCAATGGGTTGTGCGCTGGGCTTGGGACCCGCCACGTAAAAACCACTTCCAGTGAAGAAGCAAGGCAAAGCCTCGGATGAGACCCCCCCTTATGATGACGACCACGGCAAATGTTTAAAGGACTACGATTTGAGGGCATGCACCTGGAATGTCCGGACCCTTAATGGGGAAGGTGCCTCTGCCCGGCTGGTTGATGTCCTCGTAAGGACAAAAGCTGACATCACCGCCATCCAAGAAATGCGTTGGACGGGGCAAGGCAAACAATGTCTGGGGCCTTGCGACGTCTACTACAGCTGCCATGTAAAGGAGCGCAAATTCGGAGTTGGATTTGTGGTGGGAGAGAGACTCCGTCGCCGAGTACTGTCGTTCACCCCGGTGGACGAGCGTCTAGCCACAATCCGCATCAAAGCGAGATTCTTCAACATCTCGCTCATCTGCGCCCATGCCCCGACAGAAGAGAAAGATGAGGCATCAAAGGACCTCTTCTACGGGCGCTTGGAGCGCACGTACGAGCGCTGCCCCCGTCATGATATCAAAATCGTGCTTGGCGACTTCAATGCCAGGGTGGGCAAAGAAGGGATCTTTGGAACCACCGTCGGAAAATTCAGCCTCCACGACGAAACGTCCGACAACGGATTGAGGCTGATCGACTTCGCCGGGGCCCGAAACATGGTAGTATGCAGTACTAGGTTCAAGCATAAAAAAATCCATCAAGCTACGTGGGTGTCTCCGGATCGAAAAACGAGAAACCAAATCGATCATGTCGTTATAGACGGAAGGCACACTTCCAGTGTTTTAGACGTACGCACACTCCGAGGCCCAAACATCGACTCGGACTACCATCTTTTTGCAGCAAAGATACGCACCCGACTCCGTGCAGCAAAAAATGTTCGCCCAAATATGCAAGGAAAGCTTAACGTCGAAAAGCTGCAATCACAACAGACAGCCAGCGCTTTCGCTACTCGACTCTCACACCTGCTCTCAGAGAGCACTCTTCAACAAACCGACATATGCGAGCAGTGGAACCACATTTCCCGCTCATTAAGTACCGCCGCCGAAGAAGTAGTCGGATTTCAGCGAACCAGAAAGAACAACTGGTACGATGAGGAATGTCAGGAAGCTGCAGAGAAAAAAGATGTCGCCTACAGGGCCACGCTGCGATCGGGCGCAACGCGCGCTATGTGGGACCGCTATAGGGATCTGAAGAGGGAAGCGAGACGTATTTGCCGCAACAAGAAGAGAGAGGCAGAAATACGTGAGTGCGAAGAGCTTGAAATGCTGGCCGACAGGAGGAATGCCCGAAAATTTTACCAGAGAGTTAGGCGACTTACGGAAGGTTTAAAGACCGGGGCGCACTCCTGTAAGAACAATAATGGCGACCTAGTAACTGATGTCCAGAGCGTACTTAAATTATGGAGGGAACACTTTTCCGCCCTACTAAATGGCAGCAGCACAGAAAGTTGTGGAGAAGAAGAACCCGAGCCCGCAGTCGATGATGACGGAGTCGACGTTCCACCGCCTGACTATGACGAGGTACGTATAGCAATAACGCGGCTGAAAAACAACAAAGCCGCTGGAGCTGACAGCCTGCCAGCTGAGCTATTCAAGTACGGCGGCGAGGAGTTGATAAGGTGCATGCATCAACTCTTGTGCAGAATATGGTCAGATGAACGCATGCCCGACGACTGGAATTTAAGTGTGCTCTGCCCAATCCAAAAGAAAGGTGACCCCGCCATTCGCGCCAACTACCGCGGGATCAGCCTTCTAAGCATAGGTTACAAGGTCTTATCGAGCGTATTGTGTGAAAGACTGAAGCCCACCGTCAATGAACTGATTGGGCCTTATCAGTGTGGCTTTAGACCTGGCAAATCCACCATAGACCAGGTATTCACAATACGCCAAATCTTGGAAAAGACCCGCGAGAAAAGGATCGACACTCACCACCTATTTGTCGACTTTAAAGCCGCTTTTGACAGCACTAAAAGGAGTTGCCTATACGCCGCTATGTCTGAATTTGGCATCCCCTCAAAACTCATACGGCTGTGTAAAATGACGTTGAGAAATACCACCAGCTCCGTCAGAATTGGGAACGACCTCTCCAAGCCGTTCGCCACAAAACGGGGTTTCAGACAGGGCGACTCCCTTTCATGTGACTTCTTTAATCTGATGTTGGAGAAGATAATAAGAGCTGCAGAACTGAACCGCTCAGGAACAATTTACTACAAGAGCGTGCAATTGCTGGCTTATGCCGATGACATCGACATCATCGGTAACAAAAACCGCGAAGTCTGTTCTGCCTTTTCCAAGTTGGATAGGGAAGCAAAGCGCATGGGTCTGGTGGTAAACGAGGACAAAACGAAGTATCTCCTGTCATCAAACAAACAGTCAGCACATTCGCGCCTTGGCACCCACGTCACTGTTGACAGTTACAATTTCGAGAAAGTAGAGAATTTCGTTTACTTGGGAACCAGCATTAACACCGATAATAATGTCAGCATTGAAATCCAACGTAGAATCACTCTTGCCAACACACTGTCAATAGGACTGAGTAGGCAATTCAGGAGTTAGGTCCTCTCTCGACGTACGAAAACCACGCTCTATAAGTCACTCATCATGCCCGTGCTGGTATATGGCGCAGAAGCATGGACAATGACAACATCCGATGAGGCGGCTCTTGGAGTGTTTGAGAGAAAGATTTTGCGGAAGATTTACGGGCCTTTACGCGTTGGCGACGGCGAGTACCGCAGACGATGGAACGATGAGCTGTATGAGCTTTACAACGATATGGACATAGTGCAGCGAATTAAAATACAGCGGCTCCGCTGGCTTGGCCATGTCGTTCGAATGGACACCGACGCTCCAGCTCTGAAAGTATTCAAATCGGAACCCGCTGGTGGTAGTAGAGGAAGAGGGAGGCTCCCACTGCGATGGAAAGATCAGGTGGAGAAGGACTTGGCTTCACTTGGCGTTTCCAATTGGCGTCAGTTGGCACAGAGGAGAAACGACTGGCGTGCTTTGCTGAACTCGGCCAAAATCGCTTAGGCGGTTACAGCGCCNCAGCGCCAAAAAAGAAGAAGAAGAAGAATAAACGTTGTCGAGCCTAAGTCAGACAGATCTGTCTTGTTAAAATGTTCACAGCAAGACAAGGCCAGTTACCCCGCTACTAGCCTCGCAATGCCAGGTCAGGGGTTCACCGTCTCTTTCCAACTTAACAGTAGCCTTGTTTCCCGGAATGATGCAATGGTCTGCTGCAGCGTTGCCATTTTCACTCCGATCGGATTGACTCACTCCTTTTTTAAGGAACACTCCGTCACTCCCTAACTAGCAAAACACTCCGATTTTGAGATTATCAGAATTAAATATTTACTTTGAAATGAAAATATATGACCTTGTACTACGTTTATTCGTAAAAAAATTATTTTCAACTACCTAACTCACTGTTTATACCATGCAACAGTCAATTTTACACACCCAAAAATCAATATATTCATAAAACTGGGAGCCAAATATAGTATAACTGCGTTTTTACATTTTCTCTCTGACGTCAGAATTTTTTTTAAAGGGACTTTGAAATCTCTAGAATATGATTGAATAAGAACATTTTTCAAAAGATTCGGTGCACTGTAGAATAACAATATGGGCATCAATTAAAAGGAAAAATTCTGTAGAATATAAAAATAATTTAATTTTTGGGTGAACCAGGACGAATAAGTGTTGTGTCTTGTACGTTCTCTTTATTACTGTATCTTATATATATTTAACATAGGTAATTAAATACTATTTAATATAGTGTAAACGGTTATACATAAGTACATAGCTCGCTATGTAAGTATATAAAGTTCATGTTAATGTTAACATGAGAGTATGACTCGAGCATATAAGAGTAGGGAGCTTATGCTAGGTCTGCAGTGGTATAATATATATATTTATGCATATATAACATCTTCCTTTTTTAATTCGGTTTAGTGTAGCTATAGATTAC